GGGAAAGAGGAGAAAGAGGAGAAAAGGACGAGTGGTAGCAGTAATAGTAGTAGGAGGAGGACATCTTAAATTTTTTACGAGGCCACTCGTGAGCAATGGCAACGGAGGAAGGCAAGCACCACCACCAGGCGTAGACCTAGGAGGCGCTGTGCACAGCTACCAGCGAGCAAGCAAGCAGCATTTCACTGAAGTCTGCAATTTCGCGGATGCATCTTGGCTGGTCTGGCTAGAGCAAGAGAACGAGGCTGGGGGAAGGGAGGGGAAGGTCTTTGCCCGCTTTAGAAGAACTCCTAAAGCGCGCCTTCCACCTCCTTCTCCCTCGGTCCACCTTCCCACTCTACTATATTTTGGTACTCTAGAATTTCGTGCTTCCTCCCTTTCTCTCTCTCCTCTCTTCGTCTTCGAACACTCTTCTTCCACACTCTATCTCCTCTTTCTCCTCCTCTTCTTCTTTTCGCTTCTTCTCGGCCTTCCTCCACTTTCCCTTGTCCGTCTCTTTTGGTCGAAGAATAGCGAGACGCCGACCAGAGAGAGCCTACCGGAGCGAAAAAGATCCAAAACCGCTTGGACGAACGAAGACTCGCTTCCTCTATACCTACCCCTTTCCCTTTCTCTCTCCCTCTCTCGCGATGGTTCTATGTGTGCCCGAAAGAGGGTAGGGTGAGAGAGACGGATAAACGCATGGTATTGATCCTGAAACCCCTTGCTCCCCATCCCATCCCATCCCATCCCTAGCTGCCACCACCCCTTCCACTGCACCCTGACGAACCCCAAACCTGCGTTCCCTCTCTCTCTCTCTCTCTCTCTCTTCCACATCCCCTTTCTTCTCGCTTTCGACATTCCCCCCTTCTAGACTCGGCTAGAGATGACTGGTGCACCAGCGACTAACGCGAATTTCACCGAGCTTAGATGCATGCCATGCCTCGTATGTGTGATGCAAGTCGACCTTGAACTTCAACTTACTCTCCTGGCTATGTACGCGCCACGCTTTTGTCGCGCAGACGGTCGTTTCTCCTCCACGTTCTTCTTCCATCCCTTCACCCACGCAAATTCTCCCTCTCTCTCTCTCTCTCCTACCACGATCGTTTCTCTATCTCGCGTGTAATAATTATAGGGTGAAGACCGTGATAGGTTTAAAGCTCCGCGGGCAGTCAGAATGATCGATACGCGTCGTGTGAAGAGATTTCAGCGAGGAAATAAAAGAAGAAAAGGGGATAGACAGTGGAGAGATGGGTCTTGGACCGAACCTTTGCGTCCATCCGCCTTATACCACGTCATTTGGCACGCTCCGAGGAACATCCGGAGAAACAATGATCCCTGCAGAGTCATCGGGCTTAACAGTACAGGTGCCAAACGATCGTCGATCGTGGGCCGTTAACCATCGTCGTGGTCTCGAGCCAATATTCGGTAGTTGATTTTCATCGAACGTTTTCGACGGCGGCAGGGCAGAGCAGGGGCAGGGTGGATGGAACGATCGGTCACGTTTGCCCACAAAAGAAGCTCGTTTCCACTCGATGAATCTCGGTATACGAGGTCTCGCTTCGAGGGGTACGAGTTTATTCGACTTTATTCGCCGCGGAGGGTGGAAGACTACTTTCAGCTGCCCGATGAAAGTAAACCACTCGGCAAAGCCGCGGCAAAACCGTCTCCAAAGTTTCCCGCTCGGCTACGGGGTTTAACTTAATCGAAGGCTGCCTGTCGTTCTTAACCTTTTTTTCATCGATCGATTTTCACAACTCCCCGAGGAAATTTACGGTCAGCATTCCTCCGCTCCTCTTAATTCATACCGCCAGGTACCCGTCGTTCAATTTTTCGTTGATCTCTGACACATTCGAATCTAGGTAGTCCGTTGCACTGGGCAAAAAGAGGGAAAAACGAAAAGAGTAGGAAAGCAGAGTGTGGCCATTCGAAAAGCACGCTTCATAAATTCGGAAAGTTTTACCGAACCGTCGACCATTTAAAGCGTCTAAAGTTGGAGACAAAGGATAGAGGAGGAGAGAGAGAGAAAGAGAGAGAGAGATGGTAAGAGGTATAAAACGGCACGACGTCCCGCTAGTTAGAACGACTCGATCGTCGCGAGACCGCGAAGTAGAAGCCAAAAAACGACGGCGATGCCGTTGTTTCCATTTAGGGATGTCATTAGAGGCGCGCTCTGTACCAGCGCGCGCAAAGAGATGGAAATAGTGAGTCAGTCGCCGGTCTATTCGGTCGCGTAGGGATCAGGAAGGAGGCAGAAGGGTGGAAACGACCGAATGGGGAAGGATATTTCGCGGATTTTAATTAATGCGGTTCATCTTTGTTTCTTTCAGAGACGAGGCAGCCCTGCGGAGTCGCGCGTCTGCGAGAAATTCAGCCGTCGAGGCGTGTGGCTGACTGGCTGAAAGACAGAGAGAAAGAGGCGGGAGAGAAAACGAAGAGCAGGAGGAAATGCGACGAATCTCGGCTCGTCATTAAGAGAGAAGCAACCCTTTGTAGGTGAAACGACACCGAGGGGAGGGAGAAATCGAACGCGTTTCTGGCAGTTGTGCAGCATCGCCAGACTACTTCCGGTTACATCGGCACAAAACTGACGAAACTGCTGGTGGATGCAGAGCCAAGTCTAGCATCGTCGTCGTCTTCGTCGTTTCGTGGAACCATAAGAGCCTAATAGTGGCCAGATCTACAACAACGGGCTTTCAACGATCGTCCGCCTAATCGCTGTTAATGGCATAGAGAAAGAATTGGAAGGAGACGCGAACCGTTGCTTCTTTCGATAGGAACAGAGAGAGAGAGAGAGAGAGAAAGACAATAAGGAGGAACAGAAGGAAGAAAGGGTGGTGGCTTTATTCGAGGAGCGAGGCTACTTTTCGCAGGGGTAAGAAACGCCAGTGGGCTGCATCTGGAAGGGTTGCACGACCTGGAGCAGGAGCAGGAGGAAGAGGAGGCAGGCGAAGGCGAAGGCGAAGGCGAAGGAGAAGGTGAAGGCGAAGGTGAAGGCGAAGGCGAAGGAGAAGGCGGGGCGGGAGGCGGTGGTGGAAGAAGAGGAGGAGGTGGTGGTGGTGTGTGGTAGTGTTGAAGCTGGAGGAGTCGGGAGGCTACGAGGGTGGTTGCACGTCGTCGTCGCGTGACGTGCGGAAAGAGCAGACGAACCGTGGAGGAGGCATGAGGAGGAGAGAGTGACGACGCTGCCGGTGCTGCAGCCTCGCACAGATCGTGAGAGGACCGGCGGCCCCACGGTGGGGCTGCGATAAGAATGGCCCCCTTCAATATGGCGGGCGTAGCAGGCCTTCTAGCCACCTGCGCCGCCGCTGCTGCTTCCGCTGCCCACCTTCTGCCGTTGCTGCTGTTGCTGATCTGCCCGCGAGGGACCCACGCGGAACAAGGTAACCCTCTTTCCGTCCTCTTCTCTTCTCTTCTCTCCCTTCTATACAGCTCGATTCAAAAACGTACCACCGAGCAATCCTGCGATATACGTACACTCGAGGGAGCGACCAACAGTCTCAGCTTCTCGAAAGATATTTTCCTCTTCTTCCTTTTATTATTCAGAGAATTGAAACATTTTCGAACGGTCGTCCACCTTACGATATCTACTTACAGTTAGATGTTAGAATTCGTTGGTGCGTTTGCTGAACGAACCTGTACCTGTAAATGCACTTTGCTCTATCCGAGAATCACAAAGCAAAATGATAGTCTAGGACGACACCTCGGGACACGATACGCGTGTGCGATTGCTACTTCCCTCTGTATACTTAGCTAGATGCATCGATTAAGTCGTACGCCTGCCTCTCTTCGCATCGGAGAGAGAGAATGATTGCGATAGCGACATAATTGCTAGCCTCGCGAAGAACTCTCAGATAGCTAGATTCTTTTTCGCTCGACGAGGTCTCGATCCTCGATAGATTTCTCGATACGAACACCGTCGTAAATAACTTAATTAACGCTGCAACGACGCCGTGGCTATGGAATGTCGTTTATCGACGACACTCTTGCTTGCGTATTCCTCGAGGTTACCCGGGACACCTTTTCAGCCACTCGTCCACGTCGCGAATCGGATTCCTATTTTCGAAACGCGATTATCTCTTTCCCGATAATAGAACGGTCCCGTGATATTACTGTGTATCGTCGAGATTAGATTTCCGTGTGTTTACCGAGTGGCGCGAATCGATATGCATTGATATGCACGCTCGGTTCCATCGAAGATGCACAGAATCGAGCTGGCACGAGAGGAGGGAACTTGTTCGATGTTAGCCGAGACTACATAGAACCCTCGAACGTACGCGACTTAATCGGTATTCTCGTAGCCTAGTGCACCGATATTTGCCTAGAACTCGATCTGTACCCTGTCGAATATTTGCTCGTCTAAGATTTGCGTCTTAACAGCGCGTTACTTTAATCCTTCGCCTAGCCTTTCAGAGAAACAGAGATGAGAGTATCTTTCTACCTTTTAACGATTTCGAGGTAAAAAACAGAAAGGAGGGTGATCTATAACCCGAGTAGAAATTTATTCGAGGGATGGGAGAAAACGAGGGCTCTGGGAAGCAACGTTTCTCGGAGATGGTCGAGAGCGAGAGGTGAAGCTACCCGAAACGTTTTCCATATTTATGCCGAAAAAAAGGTGCCGCCCCGAGGGTTCACGTTCGCTCTCCGTCTTTCTGCACCCCTTCATCCCTCTTTCGCCGAGAATAACGATAATTTCGTAATGTGGGCCAATCTTCCGAATTGCGGGATGGTTCGAGGTGCCGGTAGTTAGTGCTGCGGCATTAAAAGGGGATCATTTGGACGCGCTCGCTTGGATCTGGACAGGAAGGAACCCTGGCGAAACGGTGGGGGATATATAGACTCCTGGCCGAAATTGACCGGCAAACTCAGCAGGGCCTGTTTACTCTACGTGAGCCGATTTCTAGATGAAGGGTCTTGTTCGCTGCTGCTGCTTTTTCGATGCTCTCTTCGCGATATACGAAATCAAGCTAACGTAGACTCTCTCCCCGTGTGGTGTTCACCTCGTAGATTCTCATCACGAAACACCGTTACCGTTTTGTAAAACCGGCAGAAGCAATTTCATCAAATTTTAATGCTAATCTATCCACGTGGAATTCCTTTTTGGATAAGAGTATCTGTGGGATTTTTAAGGATGACCCTTCTTCTTCTTCTTCTCATTCCCGGTTGATTTGGTAGGTGAGAGTATTCTTGTGGCAAGTTCTTGCGCCGCGTTCCACAGGGAGTTCCCCCCTGGTACGTAACGCGTTTAATGGAACTTGCCAAGGATACGCGTTCCCAGTGGACCGTGTCTGAGCAACGGAGTAGACGGCTAACTTCGTTTCCTTCGACCTGCACGAAACCCGAGAGCTCCTCGTTACCCTTGCCTATTCGATATCTCGGCTTCATGGCGTGTACTCTCTCTCGCTCTACGTTCTCCCGTTATATCTCTGAATTTCATTCTTCGACCGGATCCCTGAGAGGTCGACTACTCGTGTTACAGTATCCGTCGGTGGACTCGTAAACACCGATTCTCCTCCACGATAAATCCTCTTTCTTCCCGTTTTCTGTGGCCGGGAGAATTTGTCGAACCAACAGTTTTCTAACCAATCTTAACCGCAACACTTCTCCTCCGAGAAGGACTTTGTAAATTTCCAGCCGGAAACCGGGGAGATTGTAGGTGAAAGAGAATAAAGAGCAGAAGATCGAATCGATACGCAGAATGAATTTTGGTCGACGATCCGGGGAACAGACAGGTCGATGTGTCTCTGGTTCCTTCCATCAAATCGGACAGAGGCCCTCAGAGGGTTCGAACGGTATAACACGCCGGCCGAAACTCGATTACTTTCTAGAACGGCGAGCAAACCAGCCAGCGAACCAACCAGCCAGCCAGCCACTCGGTGCTCCACGGTTCGTTCGCTACGTGGACACGCTTAGGGCTCGATTACTCTGTCTCTCCACCCTCGAATCTGTCCTTTCGATTTCCCTTTAACCGTGGACCGTGACGACGCCCGATGAAACTGGCAGTTCGTCTAATGCGATTTGCGAACGCACACGTTCGATTCCATCCTCGTGAACACTTAGGGAGCGGATAAAAACGGGAATCCCGTCCGCAAATCAACTTTCCACGTGGGACAATAGCTCCTGTCCGCGTTGGTTTGCTCCGCGTGCGATAACAAATAGAATTCCTCCGCGAAACTCGAGCGAGTTTCCCCGGTAAAGAGAGGTGCGAAAGGAAGAAGCAGGAAGAAGTAGATCGAGAGCGGGTGCTGGAGAAAAAAGCGAGTCGAATGCAGCGGGAGTCGCGATGTGTCGCGGTCAGGGGTCCAGCGAACGTAGAGAGGCCGGTGCGGTGACGGTAAGAGCAGGAGCCAGGAGCCAGAGCAGGAGCAACGGCAGGCAGGCAGGCAAAGTCTCGGGAGCAGGTCGAGGCAGGGAGGCAGTCCTCTCTCGAACAAACTCGATTGCCTCCACGAAAAGGCAGAAAGACTCGTTCGAGAGCTCTGAGCTGGCTTCGAAGCCTCTCTCCTCTTCCTCTCGATTCCCCGTCGCTCTTCTCTTCTCTCTTCTTTTCCTTCGTCCCTGCTGGCTATATCCTCTCTCGTTTCTCTCTTATTCTTCCATCCACGGGGCCACGGTGAGTAAGAGACGC